TGGTGGAAAATGCCCGAACCCGGGCGGCCCGCCGCCCGGTCCCCGTCCAGGGTGCGCATTGGTGAAGAAATCGTGGGGCTTCTCCCGGGGGAAGCCTTTTTCCCTCACCCGGCGAACCGACGCCTCGATGGAGGCCAGCAGACGCGGCTCATCCAGATTCTCCTGAATCGAGCGGAAGACATTGCGCGCAGTGGTCATCTGGTTGGGCTCCGACTTGTCCGGCCGACCACGCAACAGCCGCCATGTCTGGCCTTTGGCATATACACACTCGACGATCTGCTCATGGAGCTCCCTACATGAACGTGCAATGAGTGTGTGTGTGTGTGTGTGCGTGAGGGGGAGGGAGGCGAAGCGAGGGAATAAACACGTCAGGAAGGCAGGAGAGAGAGAGGGGGGGGGGGGGGGGGGGGGGGGGGGGGGGGGGGGGGGGGGGGGGGGGGGGGGGGGGGGGGGGGAGGGGGGAGGCGATGGGCAGGGAGCACGTACCCGCGCGTGGAAGATGGGGTCCAGACAGGAGAGGATCAGGACATCGCGCGTGCGCTTCAGGCCTCGGACATCGACAGAGTTGATGACCATCGGCTCGGCCAACTGGCTTTGGAGCTGGGCGCATGTCCAGGCGCCGAGGAGAAGACATCAGGGGGTCGGGAGGTGAGAGGCCGGCCGGAAAGGAGGACCGGAGTGAGGCGGCGAGCATGCGCGAGTGAAGATAGGAGAGCAGGTACCGCCTCGAGGAAGAACGATGTGTCCACCATCTTGGCCAGGGGCGCGCGAGCGAGCGGGCGAGGGAGAGGGAGAGGGAGAGGGAGAGGGAGAGGGAGGGAGAGGGAGGGAGAGCAGGCAGGCGAGGGGGTGGGCCGGAATCCGCGGACGGTCGCAGCACACCGGGATCAGGGGGAAAGCGGGCAGGGGGGGGGGGAAGGAGAGAGGGAGGTGCGCAAGGGGGGCGGGGAGGAGAGGTGTCGGGCGCCGGCGGGGCTCGGGCCGATGGGGCGGTATGTCTTAGCTGCGGCCAACACACAGGAGGGGAAGCCTGGGCGTCATGGGGACGGGAAAACGGGGCACGATAGTTTTTGCCCCTCATTCCGGTGGGATTCTCGCGCGACGCCCCATTGGCCACTAAAGGAGGGCCGTAAAAAGAAAAAAGCTCGGCAGTCCCGGCCGACCGTGCCAAACGCGGGGATGTCCAGGGCCGTGCGGTGGCACCAGACCCCAGTTGGGCCTTTTCCCACTCCTCGCCAGACGCGAGCCCGGGGAGCCCTTGGAGATGTCCGCGTGACTGTCGCGTGATAACATTTTGGACAGACGCCCATTCGACTTCCTTAACTGGGAGGGCCTCCAGCGGCTCACATCCTTCGCGAGTTATGGCCACTCGACGAGCCGGGAATAGCGCGTCCAGTGGTGTCTGAGTGCCCAGCAGGGCGTCGTCGCCTATGGAGCTACACAAGAGGGGACCAAAGGGCGGGGCCGTGAGCGGGGAAGCAAGGACAAGAGGGCCCCACTTGCTAATGCGGCAGGACGCCACCAGCCAACGCGGCGAAGGCACGGCTATTGGAAAAGAGAGCCGTGGTTTATCGGGCTTAGCACCTTCGCGGTCGTGCCGCATTGTCGCCCGGCTGGAGCAGCCGGCAGGATTTGGTGTGGCTGCCATACGGGGTCGGCCTTGGGAGCGCGTGTGCGCGGTGGGCCGCCCGCCCGGCGGCAGTGCCTCCCGATGCTACGGCCTCCTCTCCCGCGTCCCGAGTTTGGAAGTGGTTGTGCTTTCACCGCGCGAGGCTCTATTCAGGCAGTGGGGCTTTTATTATTATCATCACATGCCACGCCAATGGCCGGCCGCTGGCGCCCCGGCTTCGCGGCACGCAGCGCCGCTTGTGCCTCCTGGCCTGGCGCCTTCCCCGCGTCGGTCAACTGAGGCACGGGTGCCGATCGTGGCCCGGCGCGCTTTCTCCTGACCGCCCGCGCTCCTGGGTCGCGCTCTCTCGCCTTGGTAAAACGCTCATTTCCCGAGGGGCCTTTCTCGGGGAGACAGGATAGGGACCTGGGCGGCTCGAGGAGGCCCCGCCCTCGGGTTTGGAGGTGGACAGGAGGCCTCCGTGGCTACCCGGCAGATCCACTTCGCGTGTCTCTCCCTCGCCATCATTCTTTGTCCTCCCGCCGAGGAGAGGCCTTCTCCCTCTTCTCAGCTGCTTTCGTGCGTGTGGGAGGAGGAAAGGGGGGG